AAAAATGTAATGAAAATTCATAACGCAGTTGTAGTGATACTCAGAAGTCAGTCATTCTTCCACACAGAAATACAGAAACAAGTTCATTTATGTACAACCTACATTTCCTACATTACTCTTAACTGGTTCAGTATTGTTTTTGTGTGGCGTAATACACGCGAGTCGTGTTTTTTTTTAAAATCATAACTCACTCAAATTGCGGTTTTGGAAGATTTATCCAGAACAAAATAGTCATTATTTTGCAAGTAGTTCATCCCTGCAGCTTCGTTTCTGGATATTTTGAAATTTTTAGGGGTTTACCTTTTTTTAACTTGTACATGGTACTCTTTTTACTTTGTGGGTTTTAAATCATGTTGTGGAAAAACAGTCTAATAAGTGACAAATAATAGCACTCATTGCGATCGCTCACAAACTTTCTGGAAAACAAGTTCCCTGTTATAAAAAAACAATGCGTTTGTCTTATTGTTTAATTTTGCTTAAAATGGTTGACCTGCCGTCTTATTACTATCATATGGCCGAATAGACCTACGAAGTACCATGTGCTCTTGTGATATGGTATAAGGTTTATTTTTGCTTGAAACAGTTCGAAACCGTTCATGCATAAAAAAAGTTCGCTAATAAATAGTCTTGTCAATCCGCCGCCGTTTTTTTCCTTTTGAAAACACTTGTTTTGCTATTCTTATTAATTAGACTTTACTTTTACATTTGTATAACATTAAATAATATTTAACATTTGTAAATATCAATGAATCATAAACCTTATTTTTTTGCAATTTAAGGTTCTTGATTGTTTGATATTTACAAATGTTATTATTAGGTGAATATTTAATTAAAAGTCATTTACTCTCAATTTCAAAGAAAACACGTAGTTACCCACTAAAAACAAGTATCCTTCCGTTTGTAACTGATGTTTGATGTCAACTAAACTTAATTAGGTCTAAAGAAGTGAAAAAAGCATAAAAAAGAAAATTATTTTTACATATGGCTGATGACACAATAGGCGTGTCATCAACTTCTGTGATTAATTCTGTAATTACAAATATGTTTGACACGCCTGGCGTGTCATAAAATATTTGTTTATTTGAAAATCGGTGCTGCAACGAATCGTTAACTACGGGTTTTGTGTATTAAAATTTGCATGTCTTATTTTTAATAATTTGAAAGCTTCTAGGTCTATACCGCTGTAGTGCCAACTGATTGGTATTTATACCTTTTGTGGTATAATAGCTTTTGACGTAAAATTAGAAGCGATGCCCTATAAATATTACTAATTGCGGTGTTTTGTACATAAGGTAAAAAAAGGTATTGAGAAAAGTTCTGCAGAAAATGACAAATTAATTTTACTCTTAACTTTTAAGAGCTCTCTTGAAATGCTGACGTAGGATTCAGTTTCACGGCGTTTGTAGTTACTCACTGGGAAGAGCTGAGTATCTGTATGGCTCTGCGAGAGACGGCATCTTACTCTACTCATATATTGAATAAACAGCAAATACTGTTCTTACTCCTGTCCATAACAAAAAATTATTCTTTATTGATTAGTCTATAGTAGTTTACAGGTTTATCACATATCTTCACACATTTCCACATAATTATAATATACTGATATTTGTAAACTGTCATGGTTCGGTTTTGTTTTCAATATTTCGCTCAACCGGTTCAGTGCGGGTTACACGCCAGGCGTGCCATCGATTACTTTTGTGTGGCGTATGACACACGAGTCGTGTCTTTTTAAAAATCGTTATAACTCGCTCAAATAGCTTTTTTAGAAAATTTATCCAGAACAAAAGTCATTTTGCAAGTAGTTCATCCCTGCAGCTTCGTTTCTGGATATTTTGAAATTTTTAGGGGTTTACCTTTTTTTAACTTTTACATGGTACTATTTTTACTTTGTGGGTTTTAAAATCATGTTATGGAAAAATTGTCTAATAAGTAAATATCAATGAATGATATACCTTATTTTTTTTTTCAAATTAAGGTTCTTCATTGTTTGATATTTACAAATGTTATTATTAGGTGAAAATTTACTTTAATATAAACCAAGGTTTCCAGGGTGATTTAGCTGTACCTACTTTTATAACAACAAAAAATAGTACAAAAGGTTTGTAATCTCTTCATAAAAAAAGTCACTTGCTCTCAATTTCAAAGAAAACGCGTAAAAAAACACGTAGTTACCCACTAAAAACAAGTATCCTTCCATTTGTAACTTGTTTGAACAAGTAAAAAAGAACATTACTTTTACACATGGCACAATAGGCGTGTCATTTTTGTCTGTGGCGCTTGACCCGCCCGACGTGTCATGAAATATTTGTTCGCCGCCACAGCTAAAAGTTGTCGAAAATTGGTTCCGCAACGAATCGGTTAAGCTTCCGTAAGGCGCTTCTCGCCACACTATTATTGTAAATATTTTAGATTACTGCTAATGTCCCAGAATGCTCATCAAGTGCAAAAACTGATATCGACTATAATTATAATATAACGTGATATCATGAAAAGGAAGAGTGAGAGACTGCAGTTATTGAAGTGTTTGCAAAAATTATTACTAATCCTTTTTTTACGCTGTTATCTTGCCATTAGCTCGTAAGTACCTTGGCCACACTGTAGGTTGATATCGCTAGTCTGCTCAATCTTGCCATCCGACTATTTAGTGCTAAAAACAAATTTATACATTTATTTTAAGCTAAAGCGTATATTATGTAGGATACAACTGCCCTCCAATCGTCACGTCGACCTTTAATTGCGAAAATGATAAGATTCAATCAAAAATCAATATATATATATATATATATATATATATATATATATATATATTCATATATATTTAACTACACATTGCATGTTACACAAACGTGTGGTTATTATTTGAATAACTCTCAGAAATGTATAATTTTGCCTTTAGGTTTAAGTCAAATTGATCACAAAATTACTTACCCATGTTAGATCAGAAACTGCACTGTTGAACTTATTTATTATTATTACAGATCAAAACTTCGTATTCAATTCAATCTTTAGAAAGTTTTTATTTTGCAGTAAAGAGATTTTAATTTGCTAAAGGTAATTAACGAAGTTGTATATTTCGTGATTTTTGCCGTTTCAGTTTTGTTAGTATTTTTTAATTAGGGAATTATTTGTATTTGTTAATTTTTTTTCTTCAAAGGAAGGTTTATATACTGGTTTATAAAATCTAGTTAAGTTTTGTAAGAATTACAAGGGATATTCGGAAGTAGTTTTTCAACTTAAATTAAAAATACGTTTGTATGTAAATAACATGTTCGATGGGCCGAATATCTTTTGTTCAATTCTGGCACAAATTGTTATGTTTCTTTGTTTTTGTTGTTGGACTGAGTTGTGCAATAAGTTGTTTGAATTTACAACCCTTAGGTGTTTTCAATGTTTACATCATGACTTCAGTATTAGGTTGTATTTCCATAGTAAACTGAAAAATCTGAAAAATAACTTGAATATCATTCCAATCTTTTGTATGTCCTACAATGTACAAAGCTGTCAATGATTCCGAACGCGTCCAAAGCAAATCGATATGCAAATTATAAGAATGTATGTTCTACTGTATTGTTATATTTATTTTTTGTTTAAGATTCTTACAAGTTCGTACAGAAATAGGAAGGAGTGCCAATAGGACATGTAATGTGGTATCTATTTATATTAATTATACATAAATATTGTTAAGAATTTTAATAAAAACCCAATAGTGAAATGTGTTATTTTTTTACACCTGATTTACTTACGAAATATATAATTACATACATGAGAGAACTCATTCCGTCTTATTACAAAAAGATAAATATTTCATGAAAGGAGACCCGCGGGAAATACCACAACTTAAAACATAGAGTATGGAATTTGACATGGCACCGCGGCTAAGAGAAGTCTTTAATTAGAAAGACTATTTAAACAATCTTTTGTAATAAGCCGGATTACGTTTGGTCATAAATAAAACAGTATGTAATAACAATAAAACGACCAAATATAATTGGACCAACATTATCTACAATACTGTATTAATATATAAATATTGACTAAATAAGATATCATTATAATCTACTCAAAATAACAAGTAATATGTATTATTAACCCATACAAAAAAGCACCTACTAAAACTACTTTGAGAAAACAAAATGCATTTATAATGGGATTTGGGTAATAACTGATCATTTATGACTAACAACCCAAGAAATTGTGAAATGTTTTGTGGAATATTCTACCGTAAACAAATTCATTTCATATCCCTGAGATCTCAAGGACTTTGCGGCATCCATGGCTCCAGAAGGACAGATTTGGTTGAAGTATATTTTGTTCAAGCGTTAATTTATTGGTTTAAAGAAAATCTAGCCCTGGGTATCCCACTAAAACTATGGATGCTGCAATATACTCGGAATGAGGGTATTTAAAATGCGATAAAATTTTAAACTCTCTTTTCATCTAAGGGGGTTTCTAAAAGATAGTCCTCATTTTAATACCAGAAAGTCAATGAGATTAGGACAATGGATAAGGTGGGTATGCAAAAAGTGAATATAGAGAGATCGAAACGACGTTACAAAACTATCATTTATTCAACAAGTCGCTCACAACAAGTCTACACTAAAATTATTTACGATGTCACCAAATCTATATATCATATATATAGAAATACATATTATATTATAGATAAAATGCATATGGATCACCGATCGAGAGATTGAAATTAAGGGCGGGGCGTTTGAACGCGTGAATTTTAAGGTCGCAATTAGAATATGATCTGATTACGCGCGACTTCTCTCTTGAGTCTTGAGCGAGCTTGTGGCTTCGTTCCCTACTACCGGTAGACTCGATCGTATTATTTTCGCAAAGACATTGCCGAGACAAGTTCGCAATACTTCGCTTCGGCACCGACTGTTCTCGGCGCCCATCGGCCGTCCCGGGAATTTCGGCAAACGCCATTTCAAAACTGACTTTCTCAAGAAACATTTTCGAAAACTTCAACACAGTTAGTTTTTCAAGGAACTTCATCCTTTACTTCTTGTTTCAATACCTTTTCAAACAAACAAAATCAATATTAGACTTAGTATTAGAACTTTATTAGGAGCTATCTTTACATTCTAGAGGCAACTGCGCCTGTAGGAGGTGGTTACATGCTAACTTATGATCTACTAAAACCCTTTTTGTATCACGTCTAATGTTAAACACAAAACAAAAGCTATAGTGACTTCCAATTGCCGCGTAAGGCAACATATCGTTAATTGAGCCTTAAAATTATTACAAAATTATTTAATCTTTTCTATATCTAAGTCCGGCCCCAAACAGGTACAGGCATAAATGCATTATGGATGCTGGTCGGACATTTTGGGGTGTGTTGTATCAAAATCTATGTAGTTGACCTCAGCGTCACGAACTTACTAATATCGACCTGGAAAGTTAAAGATGGGAGTAACCATTGAGTCACAGATGACAGATGGCACTATTAGAGTATTCTATCAATGTATCAAGTCAAAAGTTATTACATATTTATCATGGGATTAATGTTTACAAGCACTTTTGACTACAGATAAATTGATAGAACATTAAAAAAAATGGATAGTATAATCAAAAGATAAAATTGATTATCTTAATATATAAAAACACACATACAAATTAAACAAAATACTTATGATACAGATTTCTTTAACAGAAAAATCATTAGTGTAACAAGGGAACTTTTCATCACAACATCTTTGGCATGCATTAATAACATAGCATGACCCCACTTTATAAGATACTAAATGTAACTTTCTGAATACATACAAATTAGAATAAAGTTTTGAAAAATTTCATCATTTTAATATTAGTAGATTTTGACAACATTCTCTAATTGACATACACATGTACCTATATGTATGTCATTCAGGTTGGCTTACATTTAATGTCAAAAAATGTGGTCATTTTGTCACGGAAGTTACAATAATAAAGTAGCTTAATGTAAAATTAAATATAATTAATAGAATCAGGCGTTACTTAGCGGAAATCCATTGTATAAAAGCTTTTAGAAAAATTTACTTCACAAATATATATATCCATATAACGTGGATATTTGCGAAGTAAATTTTTCTAAAAGCTTTTTTAAAATTAAATATTAAGAATAATTCATGTTGAATAAGTTATGCTCTCAAATAAACCTTACAATTCAGAAAAAAAAATTGGTGTATTTATTAATAAAATAATGACAGCTGTTATAGAAATACAATTATTTTATAACTGAAATTGGAGTCAAGGTAGCTAGCTATTTACAAGATAATATCTCTACCGATTACCAAATATATTGTTTGCCTGTTGAGACTTTGCATACATGCAAATAACAATTTACGAAAATACATCTAGAATCTTTAGAGATATTTTGATGAAGCTAACACAAGCCCCAAAATCAGAGTTACAATTTTTATTAGACATACATCAAATGGATGATTGAGTACATAAAGCAAATAACAGACAAAAAGAGTGATGATGATATATTAGAAATAATTACGAATATGTTAAGAGCACTTATGTTATGCGATCGTAATATATGGATATCAGTGAAACCGCCACAACTATTCAATACATACGTTTTAAAAAAAAAAACCATACAATTTCAATGCAAAATAAATAAACTAAGGAGCTGTAACAGTTGCCATTATATTATCAATAATACTTTTATTAAAATATAGGAAAATATTCGATATTAGATACTTTTCAAAATAACATACTATGATCCTTCGGGTGTGTCTGAACTGTCATTGGTGCATAGCTGATGGGTAATTAAATAATGTCACCAATTTTTTTACAGATGTTGTGAGATGACTTTATACAATATAGCTTATAAATAAAAAAATTGAACACTGTTTATCAATATGCATTTTCTCTTGCACCGTATTAGAATGATCAAGCAGTGAACTGAGGATGACCAAGCTAATTAGACACCTTGAAAAAAAGTTACTCTAACCTAAAAAAAATTGATGCTGTATAATATAAGTATTATTATTATTAAGGTACAGCATTCAACAGAATTATTTTGAATGAGACTAAAATTTTGGTATAAATAAATATGGTACACAGTTATTTTATTAAATGAGAAAGGTATTGACTTATGTATAGGCATATTTTTACATGCCTTTGTGTTTCTTTCTGGTGCCTTGTGTGTTTTCACTATTGTGAGTTTGAGAAATAGGCTGTGTATACAAGTATATGCGCATCAGGGGCGTAGCTACCGCCGTATCAGCTACGGGGCCCCAGGGGGGCCCCGAACGTATGTAAGCAAAAATTCTAAGGCAAAAATTCTATGGGACAGGATGTTGGTTTGAATTGTTTGGCTAGCTTAGTTCCTAGGAGTATTAATTGTAAGCAATAACTTATAATCGTTATATAAATATTTTAATTCAATGCGAGAGTTCTTGTTCCTTTTGTGAAAAATCTTTACCCTTCATTTGGCCCCCCCGACAAATTTTGATACAGAGCCCCCTCTAAGGGACGCTACTCCACTGATGCGCATATACATATACGCAACACCTAAAGGCTTAGTGTAGTTAACTTTCTAAAATTATTATTGCTAAATGGAAAACTCAACTAGTTTCAAATTAAAGTATTTTTTACTGATATTATTTAACTAGTAACTATTTTTATTTAAACGCGTAAACATTAGAAATCATTATTGACTTCATTACTTTATTCAATTGTTAACAATTGTAGAAAGTCAACTAGGCTAATTTTGCTGAACTAAAACCAAAGATATTTCATACTGAGATTACAAGACTTTAAAATAAGCGTAAATTTAGTCATATTTCGTTTTTAACTTGTAAACTTTTGACATGTATGTATGTACAAATACTGAAATTAAAATTTAATTACAATAGTTACACTTATATTGAAGTAGGGTCAGATTAAGAGTACTCTCAACTGACGAGCATGTATGCATAGGTATATGGATACATGCTCGGATGTAAAGGAGGCGAGAGATGTGTGTCAGGGATAACACCAAATGGAAGTCAGTAAGTCGGCAGAACAGTAGGCATACCCCCTCTGTGTGACAGGCGTGAGTGTTTATGTATGTATGTTATGTAGCTACGGTCTGGCAATGGTGTTTAAGACAACGTCACGGTTGGGTCTAATTGGCTTGGTCGAGTAGCACTGGTGGGAGAGTCCGAGCTGTATAGGCAGTGGCCTAGGGATGGTAGTAAGACTTACGCGGCGAGTAGGAGCGCTCGCGCTCGTAGCGGCGGCGGCGGTAGTGCGGCGAGGGCGAGCGGTGCCGGTAGCCGCGCTGGTAGTACTCGCGCTCGCGCTCGCGCTCGCGGTAGCCGCCGCCGCGGTAGTAGTAGTCGCTGCAACCACACCACGCCACGTCACACCTCACTTACCACCACCATACACTACGCTAAATATACTTTTTGAAATGCAACTTCTTTATCGACCTAACTATACGCGCGATTTAACTGTGCACTTCTCTGGAATGCGGCCTCGTGCTTCGTTTCGTGCGTTCGTTACCGTTAGTTATTTTTTTTTAATAATACTCTGCTTGTTTTTATTTATTATTGCGATACCAACTTTACCTAAGAATGTTGAAAAAAATCAAAGAAAGAAAATTAAAGGAACATTGTTAATTGTATAGTCAGAGTTACGTCACAATTAAATCGCACAGGTTGTAGTCGAGAAATTTAGTACTGTATTAAAATTACAAACGTCACGCTTTCTTGTAACAACAATTCACCGCCGGGACTGCAGCATGAGTAATAAAATAAAAGAATGATATATCATAAAGAAGTTTCACTTCGTATATATATACAATTATATGCACAATTTTTCCAGCATACAGCCCACCTAAGTGGATGCTATAACCATTTCTTTTCACTACACATTTAAATAAAAGCAGTTTTTAATGGATTTTATAGTGTAAATTTCAGGAAGTCTGCCGTTTGTGAACACGTACAGGATCACCCCCATCAATACATCAGATAGAATAGACCACAAATCCTCACTAAAGAATATTGATTCCTTCCAAGAATGATTTGCGAGACTTTAGAAATCAAGAAACATCCTAATTTCATTATGAGAAGATGGCTGGGTGTTGCCATTTACTTGGGATGGGCTTTAAGATACTAGAAGCTCATTCTGCATGGATTTGACCAAACATTTATAATTTTAAACCGAATGTAGCCATGATTAACTATGACATTGGGACATAAAACACCTGTCCTTTCCGCGACCTTGGGTGCTGTTAAGTACTTGAACCGCTAGGAATATAAAATAAGTTGATATACACAATAAAATCCGTAAAAACTCATCATTAAGAATGCAGATGCATTGTCACCCCTGAGAACTCAGATGAGATGCCTTGTTTCCAGTGAAAAGGGACTCCGGTTCTTTACACTCACCATACGAAACACAGCAGCCTTAAGCTGCTTTTTCACGCTGGTATTCTGTGAGAATGTGGTTTCTCCAAACAAACCGACCCATTTGTGCTACAACCATAATATAGCTGCAGCATGTCACAGAAAGCGACTATGGGAAACGCATTTCTGTAGGCAAGCTAAAGTTGCTGTTATGCTGTTAGTGTCATAATTTATTAAGATTAGGGCCATTGTTTAAATACCCCAATAAATTTAAAAAAATGCTTATGGCTTCTGATAGATTATCATAGCTATCTCGTTATGACAGACGTGAAATACCCTGATCAGCGAAAGGGAGTGGCGTCAAAAGTACGAGAATTCAAAGCCAAGCATGGCAGTTAAGGTAAATCTTCCGTGCAATGGGAAAGGAACATTTCCAGCAGTAGACGGTTTACGGGCCGATGCCTAATTCCAAGTGATAGATATTTTAGAGGAAACCTATTTTAACCTTTTTGATAAGTTGAATATAGATCTGGATAACTATTTTTGCAAGCCCAAAAACAAGTTTTTCTCTTGCAGTATTTTAACTTCATTGTTTTTGTCCTATAAACTGGGCAAAGTCCAGTAATTAAGGTTATTAACATAGTTTATAAACCCCAAATTTCATTTCATTTCATTTCTTATTTAACTGTCATAAAATGTAACATTTATTCCAAGGTGAAGGGAATGCTGCTGCTTGGCGACAAAAATAGTTAAGGTGATACATACGCAGATGTTCTCCTAAACAGAAAAAAGAGTCCTACCACTTAGAATTTCCTTGTTAATAGAAAACCTTTTTTTTAATTTGATAAATTAAATAGTTTATGATTATCTTAAATCATAATAAAGTAAATAAGTTTTTGCTTACTCTCTGTCTCTGCGTCTGTCATACCCATTGTCACCCCTGCTGCTCATGCTCCTGAAAATTGCACATTAAATGAATATATTGTACATTATTTAAAACATGTGTAGTAATAACAATAAGAACATGTACAAGCAGGCCTTTAGTGAGTCAGCCTAACTTACAGCTGATCCACTCTAAATCTACTCAAAATGCTCTGCCAACTCATAGGATTCCTGTACTGTAAGGATACTGTAAAGGAATTTCTAAAGTTGGCAATATTTAATACATTCACACAATGTATTAATACAATATTGCACATGCATCAAGTCCTGTTCTTCACTTGCATGTTAGGTAAGGGCAATGGTATAGGTCTTGCAATTCACAAGTGCAGTCGACCTTTGAATGTGGTCCGACATGTACATATATAGTGTGACAGTGTGCGTGCCGGGTGGAGCGGTCAGCGGTAGTGGTCTTATCACATATATCACTGGGAAACAATAAGCACAAGTGACAGAGCGGGCGTCCGCTTGCGACTGACCGCTCCGCCACGGACGCGCACACTGTCACACTGTGCATGTACATCTCGGACCACATCCAAGTCGACCACACTCGTGAATTACAAGTACTATAATATACCACTGATTGGTTTGTTATTTATCCTCTAGTCAGGAATATGTACAAACGGCTTATACATGTAATGTAATTTAAAATCATGTAATAAGTTAAGTGACAGTAGCCTTATGCTTATGGGAAGAGATTGCAAACTAAAAAAGTCATGGGTTTGAATCCACTATTCAACTACTTAAGCACTCCTAAGAAGCATTTTAAGCTTATTTATGGTGCTTAATATGAGTATTAGTAATATTGAATCTGTACAAAAAATGCGACACAAATGTCTTCAAGATTTGTACCAACTATTATCATCATTATATATTTTTTTTAATTTGGATAACTTTGCAAGCATGCATGAACCTGCATGTAAATCGAGATATCAGTAATTTTCAGCAGTATAGTTTTATTTTAACAACAAAAAATTAAGAAGTGAATAATTACGTAGGTTTGCCCATGTAGATGCCGGGTGTAGGCGTGTGAGCTCGCTGAGTGATGGAAAAGTCGACTCGTATGCGCCGCCCATCTATTTCCATGCCTGAGCATTCGTTCTTTGCCACTTTCGCGTCATCTTGGCGCTCGAAATACACGAAGCAGAAGCCTCGGGAGCGTCCCGTCTATTTTGTGATAATAAATATTACAATATAATCAACTTATTCTTTAAAATAAAGCTATTCTCTGTCTGCCTTTCAATATAACGAAATTTATGAATTCTTTAAAAACTATTTTACTATACTAGACAAAAGATAGTGTGCGGTTCTAGTGTAGGAGAATCCGTTACAGTTTGTTGTAAGAGGTGACTATATGAGACATCTGGTACTGTGATCACTGTTCAGCAGTGAACTCTGAGAAGCTGATAATAAAGAAGAAAAGGCTGTAGCTGTATTATGATTGCAGCATGAATAGCTTGGTTTGACCAGAAAGGACCACACTCACACAATACCAGCATATGATCCTGAATCCTTTGGTGAGAAATGCAAACCCAAGACCCTTTCTTATAGGTAATGAGGCATTCTACCCAGCAGTAGGTGAAATGTGCTTGTTGGTAAGCACAAAGCTGACACCTTCAGAATAGTTATGCTATTCCACATTACAGTGTATTATTTAGGAGTGTAGCGGAGCATTCTCTCTTTATTGCAATCTCTTATTTAGTGGCTCCAAGAAGCTGTAGTCACAGCGGCTGCACCCCGGGCAACCACGTCAGTGGGCTAAACTTAGAGAAGGGGACTATATCTACGAACATCTGTAGATTAGTTATCAGATGATTCCCGTAAAAAAGAAGTATGCGTCTGCGGCGTTTGTCAGAATATATGTAGTGACTTATGGCTATTCGCTTCATCTCGACCTCTACCGATCGTACCGGTCCATTGGGTCACAGAAGAAGGGACGAGTGAAGTGGACTTGTACCAGCGAACTGCTTGTCCGCAATAAATAAACTCACGCACAGGTGACCCTAGCTAATCTTTTCGAATTCTACTGCCACGCATGTCAAAGGGCTTTTAAGACCAAATTCGGCCTAGCAAGCCATATCAGGGCTGGCCTGAGGATGAGGTGAAATGGATGAGGAGTATCAGCCCAGAGTCCGCAAGGGCGGTGTATCACCCTAACGTCAAGTCGTCGTTCCTGCGCCTGTTCTCTCTCTAGTCGTGTTGTGCACACACACTCTTGCATTAGAATTCTGTCCTGTGCTACGCTATATATAGCTTTTCTCCATTGAGACCATGACAACTTACCGTTATAGCCTATCAATAGCCTACTACAGAACATAGGCCTCCCACATAGATAGCATTTTAGGGGTATATTATATCTCTTACGAAACCCACAGGACCTTATGTGGTAGGGGTTATATTCTCACACCGCTAGTAGACAACTTGGCAGGAGCTAATCCAATCTATCACAGTACAAAAATCATATATTCAAATTGCTTAATATCTAGTAGCTTATTAAACACTTACCTTTGCATCTATTACAATTTGCACTTTCTCCACTGGACCATATTTCGAGAAAATTTGGTTAATCTGTTGTTCAGTAGTGTAAAGACTCAGACCAAAAACTCCAAGGCAACGCGATGGTGTTGGGTTTTCCTGTCCAACAATGAACATATTTGCATTTATATAACTGCTTCAGTATACAAGTTTTAATATATTTAAAAATTTTATTACAAGAAAAAAATATATCAAAATTTTGATTACTTCTTTATAAACAATATCATGCCGCCACAAGTGTGATTTGCTTACTTATAGCTGGTAGAGAACACCTCCAGGGGTAAACTTCACTTTTTTCTTTTTGTTCACCAGTTTTATTTCACACAGGCATATTTCATAGTAGGCAAAGGGCTAACCTTATCGTTACCATTAAAACTTATTAAAAGTTCACTTCTGAACAAAGGCTACCCCCTAGATTGACTCATAGGAGGCATATTTGCCATAGTTGCCACTCTTGGCAGGTGGGTTAGCAACTGCAGTTTATATTTTAAGTTGTTATAGGAAAATGCTAGTGCCCATCGCCTGGTTGGCTTCCCTTCATCACCTCATATGACACTCAATATTGGGTAGTAGATATTTTTACACCACCACTACACGGTCCAAGGGAAAGTGGGCTAAGCACTAGCCTTAAACTCCGTAATTGCCTAAGAATTGTAGTAGCAATCCACAATTACGTGGTAGAGCCATGCTGCAGCTATATTAGTAGTAAAGTTGTAGCATAGCATGAATGGGTCAGCCCGACTGGGGAAGGTCCACACTCAGAATACCAGCATAAAACAGCAGCTTAATGCTGCTGTGTATCATATGGTGAGAGTAGAGAACCAGAGACCCTTTTTACTGGAAGCGAAGCATTCCATCTTAGCCTCATAGGTGACAATGCATCTGCATTTTGATTCATAATCATATATAATAATAGATGTAGATGTCTATGGGCCGCAACAACCACTTACCATCAGTTGGACTGTGTGCTTATTTGCCATTCTTATCCTATAAATAAAAAAATAAAAATACAACTGAAATTTTTATTTACAATTTTAAATGTTGATTTATCACATAGACAGAGGTTAAGGTCATCCTTGTGAAGATACCTTCATAACCAATAAATTATGAATACTTCCAAATCATTGTCTGTCAACTTATTCAAAACAAATCAAGACCAACTCTACCCTGCTTGAAAATTTCTTGTGACACTAATAGTCCCCCAAATAATTTGTCCTGTGTATTAATATTAGGTTTCTCTAAAATTGGCCAAATTAAAGTATTTTACTGATAATTGCTGAAATTATTCTGTTTTAAATATCTCTTGGCATTGTTGTGGCGGCATCAGAGAATCAAAAATGTCCAGCTTTGGACTTTGATTGGCTGGTGGTGAATAATAACAAATAATACAATTTATAATATCCATTAATGGCAGTAAAAATAAATAATGAATTAACATCTCATAATTGAATGTTGTAAGAGTCAATTATGGGAATTATTAAATAAAAGATCTAGTAAAAGCTCCAGTTAGTTTTAACAGCTCCAGTTATCGATGCACCTGCAAGATTGTGTGTTTGAGTGACGCATCTGAATTTTAATTATTGATCTAGGATAGATGTAAATGTCTATTGGCCACAACAACTATATACCATCAGGTGGACAGTGTGCTCGTTTGTCACGCTTCCTCTATAAAAAAAAACTAAATCATTATTCCTCACCCCAACTACAATCTAATGATAAAAAAGTACAAAAACAAGCATCCTCACCCTATCTCCATAGTCACCACTCACCCTGTCTCCAAGATGGCGGCGCCTGGAGGACATAGGACTGTGCGAGTGCGAGCGGCGATAAGAACCACGTGGTGAGTAAGAACGTGAGCGACTGTGCGAGTATCGCGAACGATATCCACGCCGCGGTGAGCCAGAACGCGAGCGTGACCTGGAGTACGACCTAGTGTCAGCAGCGATGAGTCCTCTTAAATTAACATGCTTTAAAACTAGTTTTAAGTCAAATTTAGATGCCATTCTTCTAGATAGATTACGATTTATTAAAACTTCACTAGGTATTAGAAAATTCTTTAAATATTTGTAGCTTTAGCTTTGGTTAAGTAAATATTAAACAATTTATAAACAAATTTCCACCTCCACAGAATTTTGTCAATCTGTGAGGAGGTTTATGTTCAACAGAAGACTTTGAAAGGCTGTAATGTAGTATTAGGAAATATAATAAATTCTCTATTACATTGAGATATTCACTAAAGTATATGTACAAACAATATTGCTAAATGTGTTGCTAATAAGTCCATTAACTGAGCAGTGATAACTGTTTTCAATTTTAAAATAACTGTTAAATAATTTTCCATGATCGTAAATTACAGTTGTTTTTAACTATTTTATCATACGACTATACACAAACACATAAAATATATAAATTCAAAAATCAAAAAATCTACATGCTGATTTAATTATCTAACAAATATTGTAGTATTTTTTTTAATTTAATCAAAAAATGATGTATACAACGAGTTAGCATGAAGTTAAAGTAATAATATGCTCCTATAATATGTAGCTCTTATAAAGGAAGTTTAAATACAATTGCTCTAGGAATATTGAAAACTTGCTTTTAGAAGTTCAAGAATATAAAATTACTCATGTATACACAAATAAAATTGCCTTATGCAATTGTTTCTTATCAGGCAACTCAGTAGTGTGGATAGAACTACACACCAAGTATTGATCAAACATTTACATTAGCTGTTTTCTTGTTTTGTTTATACTGACACAGGATATGACATCAGTAATAATTTATTTAAGCTTAATTTGCACACAATAGCATACAAAAAGGTGTATTTAAATGTCATAGGATATTGTCTCCCAGTCTGCCCTTAGGTCAAACAGAAAATATTATATTATTTAGGTTGAAAAGTACAAATTATATGAAATTTAATTCAGGGATTTTCATATAACAAAACAAAATAAATACAAAATATATACATATACAAAGAAATACTTATTAAACTCTTACATCTATATACACAATTCAAAACATGCTTAAACCGGGGTTCATCACTACCAGGTAAAATATACCACAGAAGTAATAAAAACACTAATATCTTTTTTTCTACGTAATTTAGCGACTTATCGCTTTCGGTACCTTTCGGCAAAGGAATATATGCATGCGGAGTTTACCTTTAAGTAATTGTAGCACTTTTGTTAATACTTTTAAGTTATTGTACTAATTTGATGTGTTAGTGTTAGCAATTGTAGGTAAACCTAATAAATAGAAAAAAAAAAGGAACAAAAAACGAGCGGGGAGCGCGGCTATCGGTTGCCATCACTTGATCAGCCATAGCAGAGATGTGAAGTATGGGTGAAAAAACCTCGTAGAAAACAGTTTAGTAGTAGTATTTAGTAACTATTTTTTTTTGATAAACTTTAAATGGTTTTTTTGTGTTAGCACTTCATTACCATGAATTTCCCTATGAGTAATTGCACTATAGAATAAAACCGTATCAGAAATCGAGGATTATGAGGAGCATAACCATGACAGCGATACTGAGCAGGAAGCAGATTCTGATGATATCCATGACATTCCCCTGCAGTTTGAAGAAGAGGAAAAACCAACATTATCAGTGCACTTGGGTGAAGAGTATTTAGATGATGGTACCATGGAAATAAATCATGGGTGGGAAATATTTTGGCAAAATGGAAAATGCCTACATTATTGTCAAAAATAATTAGGAAGAAGCTTCAATTGGCCCAAAAAGGGCCAAGTTGAAAGAATTAGCCAAAAGTTAATTTATGCCTCTTATACACCGCAGATTGCAGGTTATTAATTTGCTACGGTCCATAAACAAGTTTATTTTGTGGTTTTGAGGAAAACAATGAAGCCAATATGCCAAGCTCCTCAAGGTGCCGACCAAATCCATGCATGGCTCTATGTAAAAATGTATCTAGATGAAAGAAAACAAAGACAGCTTGTGAAATGTGCCATAAAAAATATTCCGAGAGCATACAGTACCTACTTGTGGCAGTTGTTGCCAAAAGTGAAAAATAATTAACATTTATAGTTTGAAACACAGACTTAGTTTTTTTTGAGAGCTGGTATTTTGTGTTTTTTGATCTACTTTTATCAAAATAATTTTTATTATAAAAGTAAAATTTATTTTTGTTAGTTTGTAAGAACATGGCACATTGATCGCAATTTTGCATGTTGCAAAAGAAAAAAAATTAATAATTGTTGAAATTTCAAGATTATAAAGAAAAAAGTTAAGTTTTAGATTATTTTTATTGTATGCCTTAAATATTAATAAATACATGTTTAATATGTTATTTTTAATTCATAGTTTATAGTACAAACAAAAATATTGAATTAAAAAATTGTGATATTAATATCCATGTAATTAAGTAGGGAGCTATGAATAATGTATTAACTTCTCTACCTAGCAACGAACCCTGGGTTAAACAAATAAATAAATAAATTAACTTTCCAAATTTGTAAGTATCAGAGCCAGTTACATTTTAAGTAGAGATCAACTAATTCTGCAGTATAAGGTAAAAATTCCAATGCAGATATTTAAACAATGCCTTACCTTGATATGTATGTTTATCAGAAAATCATTTCAATGTTCCATTGCGTGTGGATTAATAAAACTACACAAGCTAGTGTGATGACACTTATGACAATATTATTTTATACATTATAAATTGTATTGCATAACTACCTTCATTAAAGTCTCCTGCTAGTTATAAGCCCTTTTTGTTTCTTGCGTGCACAATATGCCACAAATTTATTGAAAGTGCTACCAATACCTACCACACAGGACAGGCATATTAGTGAGCGCAGAGTTAAGCTTACTGGACTCTTATAGACTGTCAGTGAGATTAGAATTTGTAGTTTTAGATGAATTTTCTGATACCTTATCACCATAGACTGGTCATTAAACAGCAGGATTTCACACCCAGTTTTTGAGTAGTAGATATTATGGCCACAACATCAATGAGTTCTCGTGGATGGATTGATCTACATTAGCGGCTTTTCAGTATGAGGTTGTTACAAATAAAAAACCTTACTTCCCTCTTAATACAGAAAGTAGTGTCCTCTTAATAAACCATGGGTGCATGACACAGGCAAACTATATGGTTTTTCTTTAAAGGTGACAAGTTTGTCTGAATTGGCCCTTCTATTCAGATTCTGGGTGTGAAAGGTAAGAAGGCCAGTATAATCACAGCATTTGGAGCATTTTATCTTTATCGGCAGTAGTGCCTTCATTGTTTAAAATTAGCAATAGTCATCAGGTGAACTGATTACTTGTTTGTCACTCTAATATTAAAATGAAGTGGTTAATAGTAATAAATTTGCTAAATAACCTTCAGAACAAGGTTAAAATTCAAGGCCTTTTTTTATTGTTATTCTAAACAAACAGTAATCACAAGATTACTTTTAAAAACACATACGGAACTGATTCAGTGGTACAATATTTAATTAGAAGTTTTCAATCGATTTCTATTATACAAGAGAAATAAAAAAAAAACTAAAATAGAAAAATATTTTCCGAATATTCTAAAACATGTTATTCGATGCGTAACCAGGTTTACAAGGTCATTTTTTCACTCATTCCATTGCGCAACCGTAGCTCTATTTTGGAGGTTATATCAACAAATCATATATATACTAGCTACATTTTTTTAAATATCAGCATCCTAATGAGTGATTTATGATTTTCATGGATTTTACTCACGGGCTTCTGTACTTCCTGCTGGATGCTTTTGGTGGAGGCGGCGTCCTAGACCGGCTTCGACTATGCCCGCGAGACATCGTTGGTGGTTTCGGTGCGGGCTCACGAGAACCGTTGCGTGTTCTTGAGCGACTTCTCTGAAATATGATCAACCCAGTTATAGCTTACAAGAGCCCCGGCAATAGAAGCGCACGAGGCACTAAAGGAAATGTTGATAGAGATATAAATATAGTACCTCTCGGTCCGACATACTGATCAAAATAATAAAACTAACAAAACAAAGATAAATTTCTCACAATCAATCTAATTATAAAATGCTTGTATCGACAAACTTAAATCCACATGAACACAGAACATAAAACAACGCGGTTCAAAATGGCGTCTGTCTATCGCTATCGAAGATCGAACAAACAAGGCTGACGCTCCCTCGGCAAGAAATTCGTTGAAAAAGCGCGGCAAAGCCAAAGCATAATAAACAATCGACAATCGAAATCGACGACATGCAAATGCAATCGAATGATTCGAATTCGAATGTTCCCTTCGTAGCAGTGTTATCAAAACCAAAATTTTCAGTAGCTGATTTCGACGTAGGAGTTAACGATTTAAATAAAACGTATTATGGCGCGTATGCACCAAAGTTTTGTTGTCAACACAACATTTGCTAACAAAAGTTGTTTCGATTTCCGGTTAAATCGGATATATTGGAACTACTTCGTAAATCGAAAATCTTCCCGAACTATAGTATAGTAACTACACGAAACTATAGTAACGAGCAAAATCAAGGCATAGTACTAAATAATTGATTGCTTGATGTCGTGAATCCGAAGAGCTATGTTCAATGAAGACGTCGTATCGGATGAAATCGAACCGATTATAGCGTTACGCTAATCTCTTATGTTTCGGTCACACACAGAGAATACTCACTCATTGCGAGTGTATTAGCTGCGAATAATACTCGCAGAGACAATTCGCTGCCTGCCTATCACACAAAGCGAGTTCTAGTTCTACACGAGAATTTTGACTCTGCTAGGAGTAAAGCCGCGTCTCCACCAAAGTTTTGTTGTCAACACACCATTTGCCAACAAAACTTGTTTCCATTTTCGGCATCAACATCAAAGGAATACGCTTGTTGCCAACATTTGTTCCCTCGGTGGAGACGCCTGTTGACAGAAACATTTGTTGACAACACGTGTTGGCAAAGACGGCGCCACTTGTATGTATGTCGATTTATGTAAAACAGTTTCGCCTGTCGTAAGTTTTCAACAGTTTCGTCTGTCGTATGATTTCAACAGTTTTCTTCCTCCACTGGGAGTAAAAGTATTCTGTGGTTTTTTTTCTTTCTTTGGAGAATGTAAATAATTCTTAAGCAATAAAAATGTCTTGTAAATTACCTAAAAATGGTTGACGGAAGTATTTTATGATGAAAATTTAATAGCGGCCAACACGTCTATATAGGCAAAAATACTGAATTGGACCTATATATTGCCACTATCAAATCTCAAGGTAGATGCCCTCAATATATGGAGAAGCCCTGAAGGAACTTTCCCAAAACTAACCGAATTGGCTCTTAAACACCTCTTTGTGATGGCCAGTTCCGCGCCAGCCGAAATATAATTCGGAATGCGGGAAATATTGTCAGGAAAAAACGAAACCGTATTTTAGGAAACAGACAAAGAAGAATTTTTGTAAAGTTATTGTTTTTAAACTCTTTAACTGATAATTCGTATCAATAACTTTTTTTACATTTTTTTGTTAACAGAAGTTTAAAAAAAAGATTTGCCTTATATTTTAGTTTTGAGACCAAAATGTTGTCATTTGATTATTTATAATTATATTTTTATTTCATTTTCATTCTAATCCAATTTTAAATGATTGTAACAAAAAATATTGTACAGTTCGACTCCACTCTCCTTGTCCAAGCGACGAGCTTCGGTCGTAAAATTTTATTGCTTTTTGTACGTTGCTTTGTCAATACAACTTTAGGCGTTTCACTTAAGGTTGAATTTACATTAATGTAGATTTATATCAACTAGAATTACGTCAAAACATTTGGCGACAGTTTTTAGAGAAATTTTGTATGGGATTGTGCATCTAGTTTTTTATTAGTGATCGATGACCCAATGTCACATCCGTACCACTGACCTTTATATGTGCCCTTATATATGCCCCAAATACAAATATGTTGTCTATTCGTTGCACACGTCTAAAACAGAGTACTCGGTTAGCTTGTGCAGAGTTAGCAAACCAAATGCTGATTAAGCTCACAACTCATAAGAAGCGAAAATTAAAATTTATATTCGTCAGCCTTTGTGGGTTTTTTTTAAGCTAACTATATCATAATTTCCTCACTATAGAAACTTGTTTTTTGGTTGGTTCACCGTATAATATACACAAACGTGCATATTATACGATGAACCAACAGCGTAGCAACAAAGCTGCGGCGAAATGACATACAGGGCGTTACAGATCGGGCGTGTAGTCTAGTCTCTAGAGAGGCGCGCTGAGCGCAATGGCTACTTGCAGCGAGTACCTTGTCACAGACAGCGAATATTCGCGGCGAGAGTAAAATTGAACATGTTCAATTCAAATCGGGGCGAATTCAACTCGTAGCGAATGAATCTAATCGTAGCGAATAGCCTGTCACACGTAGCGAATTTTTCAGAATAATTCAGTATTCCTTGTGTGTGAACGAAGCTTTAGATTTAGACCATTCAACCAATAATCTAGACTTTATTCTACCGTTGTTTTTTGTGTAGATAATAGTTTGGATTTTTGTTACTCATGTATAAAAGGTATGATTGCTATTATAATAAAAGTTACCCGCCTAAATAAAAATTGTATTACGAATATTATGATATAAATGAAAGCGGTTTTTGACAACGCGGTATTAGATGTAGTTGTCCACTTCATGACTTCCCTTTTGTTAAGAAAATCGTATTAAGGTGGCTACTGACCTGCCTGCCGCAGGGGCAATCTAGAGTGTAGAAGTGGGGATGACCCTGAATTGCCTCCTTAATTGTGATGCGGCAGGGCGGCAGGAGCGCAGTGTTGCAAAAGTTCCCAATTTATCGGGAAATCTACTGATTTTAATTAGTATCTCCCGATATCCCGATTTAGCAAACGTATCTCCCGATTATTTTACATTTCAACTAATGTAAAATAATAATCATAAATAGAATTGAAAAGTAATAATCCAAATACTAAAATGAACTTTTAACACAAAATCTATGTACGGGGACTTCCCGAAGTTGCTCGCACCACGTCCTATGGGACCTATACCTATAACCTTATTAGGTTTTTAACTTCGCGGTATGGTTAAAGCATATTGCACTGATACATCTTAAAATATAGTTCATTATTGTCTGGTAAGTGTACGGGGGAGATCCCTAAAGATTACTTTGGTTGGGTTGTTTTACGAATTAGGCAGCTTAGGCCATGTATATATAGTGTTGTTCGTTCATGGAATTACATTCACTAATTACTAGCCTTCTTTTGTTTTGTTGAGAACTGTTGTGCTTTATGTCCAAATTTGTTAGGTAGCATTAGTTATCAAAAAATTAATTTAGAATGGCGTTTGCTTCTAAATACGAAAGAAATTAAATCACTCAGTGAAGAAACAGAAGAATTTTGGAGAAGCGTGAGTAGCAAAAATATATAATCAATTTTAGTTAAATTATAAAGACATTATTTTAATCGCAAATAAAATGAAACGAAAAAGAACGACACCTAAAAGAACGTTTTATGATACATTTCTAAACCCATGGATGTAAATAAAAATCTCCCGATTTCTCCAGATTTTTAGCTGGCAAATCTACCGATTTTTGATTTTTCACTTTTGCAACACTGCAGGAGCGCAAGACCTTCCTTGCTCCCTAGATTGGCCCTGCCGCTGTCGCGTGTGTAGCCCAAAGACGTATTAAAAAAGATAGACACGTTACACACTAACATTATTGTATTTTAAAGTGGCGCAGCTAGTACTATATATACGTACAGTTATTTATTATGGCACGTTGTGCTAACAAAAAGAGACAAATGATAGGGCATACCTATCGTTAGAAAAAGATGAATATACATCATTAGTTACGTATTGATTACTGCTGAGCGCTCATTGGCGCGAGCACGTGACTTACCGATACGGGGGAAAATAGGGAAAGTAAACACACTAGCCAGCGTCAAAGTTTATATTAGCGGTTAGTGTTGAAATAATAAAACCAATTATGAACAATATTCAAAATATTAATTATAAACAATCAAATTATGAAATAATATCGACTCAGTCAGTGAACTATGGTGTTATGTGGTATTATATTCCCTCAAACAAACTTAACTTATTCCTTTTTTGCCTTTTGTAGTCACTTTTCAAATTTGGATTATTTTTATGCGCGAAATGTATGCGTACATTAGTGAACTTCTCTATAATAGCGCGTATAAGGTGTAGTCTGTGATTATAAGTCGGATAGTGCGCTAGCGAATGAGAATTTAAAGCCGAAAACACGTCATTACGGCTTAAGAATGACTTTAAGATTCGGTTCGTTATAATTGCAATCCCCTTGGGATCGGGAAGTATAATATGGCCCTTTTCCTTAATATGGTTTTTTATAATCGCTTCTGACTTTTAGCAAATTTGAAATACATCCTCACTTGGGAAACATAGTCCGCCCATGTTTTTGAGAATAATTAATTTGTGAAACCACAGTTTTGTGTCAGAGAGTAGACTGTTATTACATACATCACATTTAAGTGATTTAATAAGATTTCTGGACACCCAACCTGATACGTAACCAATAATCTGGTCGACGGCTTTTTTGACATTTTCCCTATTTAATAGAGTTGAAAGCATCTCAACATTTTCGTATATTTTTAGAGTGTCATCAGTTTCTTTTCCGCTTCGATTTAGTTCTACGTGTGAGTACAATTCCTCGTCGTTTGATCTAATTACCATAGAATTAATTTTTTCAACTGCGGATGAACACGTCAACACAGGAATATCTTCCAGTGGTACGCAATTTCCTAAAAACGAGGACCTCATTTCCATATGCTGAGGGATTATTTTGAAAATCCCCTTTAATTGCATTGCATTGGGGTTATTATTATAGCCTCCATGTCGCCTTATTGCACCGAACAACAATTCAATGTGGTCTTGAGTTGGCCTGTAAGTCGCAATGTATTGCAAGCGTTGTGTGTTTTAAGCTTTCTATGCCTACTAGAAAGCCCAAAAATCCTGTTTTGTTTTTGGTCTCGACAATGTTT